GTTCTACAGAAGGATGCTGAGGATAACAGAGATCGAGCACTTGATCAACGACGAGGTTTTAAACAAAATGGAAACAAAAAGGAAACTTATACTTAACATCAGGAAGAGACAATTGAAATTTCTACAGAAGGATGCTGAGGATACCATGGACCGAATATGTGAGCAACGACGAAGTTTTAGAGAAAATGGAAACAAAAAGGAAACTTATACTTAACATCAGGAAGAGACAGTTGAAATTTCTACAGAAGGATGCTGAGGATACCATGGACCGAATATGTGAGCAAAGACGAGGTTTTATAGAAAATGGAAACAAAAAGGAAACTTATACTTAACATCAGGAAGAGAAAGTTGGAATTTCTACAGAAGGATGCTGAGGATACCATGGACCGAATATGTGAGCAACGACGAAGTTTTAGAGAAAATGGAAACAAAAAGGAAACTTATACTTAACATCAGGAAGAGACAGTTGAAATTTCTACAGAAGGATGCTGAGGATACCATGGACCGAATATGTGAGCAAAGACGAAGTTTTAGAGAAAATGGAAACAAAAAGGAAACTTATGCTTAGCATGAGGAAGAGATATTTGAAATTTCTACAGAAGGATGCTGAGGATACTATGGACCGAAACGATTTGAGCAACGACGAGGTTTTAGAGGAAAATGGATGCAAAAAATAGAAAACTTATAAACTTATTAACATCAGGAAGAGACAATTGAAATTTCTACAGAAGGATGCTGAGGATACCATGGACCGAATATGTGAGCAAAGACAAAGTTTTAGAGAAAATGGAAACAAAAAGGAAACATACTTAAATCAAAGAGACAGGAAATTTCTACAGAAGGATGCTGATGGACCGAATATGTGAGTAACGACTAAGTTTTAGAAAAAATGAAACAAAAAAGCAAACTTTTAACATCAGGAAGAGACAGTTTTTCTAGGATATATATAATATGAGGAAACGAGGGCTTTATACTTAACATCAGGAAGAGACAGTTGAAATTTCAAGAAGGATGATAGTCAACGAGGACAGATTGAAGGCTATGAGGGACAAATATGATAGTCAGGACCAAATTGAAGGCATGAGGGACAGAGGAAAACAATGTACAATCTACGTAGGGAGCTTGAGTTAATGGATGATGGACCAAGTTTTAAACGGAATTTATTATTACCTAAAAACCTGGAATTATACAGAGCCATGATCGCCTTCGACCTGGAAGGAAACGCTACATAAAAAAGAAAAAAAATGATTATCGGGAAAGATAATTAAAAAGAAATGTGAAATGATACGGAGAAAAGACGTAGAATTCATATGAAGGAAGACGATGAAGGAAAAGATGAAGGAAAAATAGAGAAGTGTCATATTTAATTCAGAGAAGAAGCGGGAGATTATGAAAGAAAAAACCCGGGAGGGAAATTGACCCCAAATTTACCTGAAAAGCAAGAATAACATCCGGAAGAGGCCTTATTGTCGTGAACATGACAATAAAGATGTAATGTAAATAATAATGATGAAAGGTGTAAACTAGTTCTAGTAGTGAATGCTGGACAATCTACTTAAAGATGGAGAAGAGACTTGAAATAAAAGAAATGTCTGCAAAGTTTTAAAGAAAATGGAAACAAAAAGATAACTTATGCTTAGCACCAGGAAAAGACATTTGAAATTTCTAGAGCATATAATAAGGAAAGAGGGCTTGGCAAATATGGTACTCAGAGGACAGATTGGAGGCTTGAAGAAAAGAGGAAAACAATGCGGAATCTACGTAGTGAGCTTGAGTTAATGGATGACTGAATAAGGTTGAGAAAAAAATGACAAAAGGCTAAAATTTAGGGCAGGACATTGTAGAGAACCATGATCGCCTATAGTACATGAAGATAAAGACCGAATTTTACTGTGGCCATTAACTGACTCAGAATAATTTTAATGATTCATTTGATATCGACATACAAACGAAAATTAGTTTTATTAAACATAGATCCAAGCCCACCGTATGGTATAATGCGGATGTCCCCCAGGGGCTCCATCCTTGATCCTCCTCTGTTTTTAATTTTTATTCATGACATTCCCGATCTCAAATTAGATTTTACGTTGATTATATTACCATTCATTCCTGCTTCAATATGGCCGACAGTCCAACATAGTCAAAATGGCAACCGATGTCCAAAACGACCTGAAGCCCGTCGTTAACTGGGACAAATGACGGCTTGTTAATTTTAACGCCTCCAAATTTAAACTTCTTACCATTAATAATTTGAGAGACCCCTCTCTGCCTTACATCAGCACAACTGATGCTAACCTCCAAAAAAAGTAACGCTTTGTGCCTTCTAGGGCTAACGTTTATAGTTGACATGCAGTTGAAATACTATATTGAATCCATTGGTAGGACAACAGTTGAGAAAGTCGATTCACTGTTTCGTGAGAGACACTTTTTCGTTCCAGAATCTATCTTACATATCTATATATCTACCATTCGTCCATGCTTAGAATATTGCTGCTACATATGGTCCTGTGCCTCTGCTATTTACTTTGGGCTCCTTGATAAAATCCAAAGAAGAATCAGCAATATTATTGGCCCTGAACTGGCGGATCGGCCTCAGTCATTTTCCGACTGCCGTAAGGTTGTCTCTTTGTGTCTTTTCTATAAATATTTTCATGGTAATTGCTCGGATGAACTCTTCGCTAGGTTATTTTATTTCCCAATCCTCACAAACATGAATTGTACATATGGGGACTAGTTATGATTTTCATAGAGACATTGAGGTATTGTGGTGAATGTTGTTGGGATGATGAGTAAGAATGCGTTGTTTTGGTGTAAGGAACTTTGTGGTATGTTTGAGTGAGCGATCGTGGATAGCTAAGTTTAATGTAAAGACAGAAGAAGACCATCCTTTTCCCCCATTCCCTATTTTGGCCTTGTGCTACATTTCTGTACAAAATGCGGAATAAATATCGCCCTTCGCTATGATACGTAGACATTTTTAACTTAAACGCAGTACTCGACTGGCGTCAAGACCCCATCTCTTTGGCTAGATGTAGCCAAAAGTTCTATGCTAACAGTTTCTTCTCTCGCATTTCTCGCTGGTGGAACTCCCTTCCGGCTCCAGGCTTTCCAGCCAACTTTAATCTGCAAAAAACTAAATGCAATGTCCATCGCTATCTACACTCTTAATGCAATTTAATTGAAACAAAACGAATAATTCCGTTATTTTTTTTCTTTTTTCATGACCCAGTGAAAATGTTAGTACTTCGTATGCTCATTCCACGAAGTTGTTCCTTGCAGATTGACCACAGATTCTCGATTGGATTTAAATCAGCAGACTTTCCAAGCTATAGTACTTTGATTTGCTCACTGGTAAGGCGTGCCAGTGTCTTCGTGAAGCAATACAATTTCCGTATGCCTTCTTCTTCCATGGCCGTAGGACAACTAATCGACAGTCGAGACAATAGTGTCTGGGCGTGATAAAAATCTGATGCAATCACGGAAGACGCAATATTTTTCAAGGCCAAAAAAATTTCATTATATACCCCAAAAATAGATTCATAGTATTGCACATCATTACAAATGGCCTAATTTGAAGAAAAAACAGAAATCGATTATACCCTGTCACTCCAGTAGGTATAAAACTGAACGTATGTTGAAAGAAAAGAGACTAAAGCGGTTGTTTGAATTAATTTGCACAAGGGTGTACAGTACAGTTCTTCTCTTTTCTCTTCCCGCTCATTATTCCTCATTTTTGTTCCTAATTCTTCCACTCTATGTTAACGCTTGTCCCTTAGAGGATTTATTGCGTTGCGTGTGGTGATACCGATTTACAAAAACTAATGGAGAAAAGCCATACGGGAAAGGACTGATGTTTAATTAGACAATCTAGCTGCTAAGAAATATGATTATGCTTTGGTTTGTTTTGTTTTACGGCATATCAACCTCAATGAGTTATTTAATGCCGACAATTTTTTTCCTGGTATATTTTGTTTAGTCAAAAATCTATTTCTGGTAATATTTACTCGAAAATACATAGCTTGTAATATTATTTTCAAAAACGTATTGCTGGTAATATTTTTTCAAAAACATATTACTGTTAACATTTTTTTCAAAGATATATTGCTGGTAAAAGATTTTTTTTCCTTCAAAAATTTATTTCCATTAAAAAATTTTTTACCTCAGTTTTGGGTAAACTATTTGCCCATAGCTGGGACCCTAACAGATGCTAACACTCCTGGTCAGGGTGGACCTGGGAACATCAGCAATTAAGAGTTGGTTCCACGCTCCTCAAAACCTCCTGATCAGAGGTCTTGCTGTTGGACGTAGTTTATCGTCCTACCCTGGACGCGGATGTAGTTGAACGTCATACCCAGGACGCCGATGTAGTTTATCGTCTTACCCAGGACGCGGATGTAGTTTATCGTCTTACCCTGGACGTGGATGCAGTTTATCATCCTACACAGGACGCGGATATAGTTTATCGATATACCCAGGAGGCGGATGTAGTTTAACGTCATGCCCAGGACTGTATGATTAAGTGTTCCAATCGTCAATTTATCCCAGAATCTTCATCAATCATTAGCTAGATCTAAATCAATCTACTCTGGAATGAATGCTATGTTAAGTACAAGTTAGAGAGATTTAAACTTTCAATACGATTCAGTAAAACTCGATTGTAAGTCATTACTCTACCATCAGTCTTTAATACGTGCATGTTAGGAAGAAAACACTGAGCTATCTTTGAATGATTTGGTCAGAATCATCTAAAAAAGAAACATTAGCAAGAATCAAATGTCTTAAAAGTTTGATACACCTTGGCGTAGTTTAATTTCATTTTTAATTTTAAAGTTTTACAATTTGAAACTTTTCTAAATTGGAGTTAAAAAATAATTAGAATGGGGAGATATGCTTGCAAAACGAGAAAAATGATTAAATAAATGAATAAATATTAATGAAGACAAATTATAATTTTTTAGAAATTATTTTTAAAATACGAAAAATAGATTTCAAATAGTGACGAGAAAGGCGGGAAAAAAAAGAAACGATGAGGCGGGAAAAGATAACGCTAAGACGAAAATTTGATCTCTTTAAAACTTGGTGACGGATAGATGTAAGAAAAGCAATAAAAAGTAAAAAGAGGAAAATGAAATTAAATTTAAGGAAGGAAAGCAGGATGGGAGGAATGGAGGAAGCCAGGCTGATATTGACAAAGTAAACCGTGTATAAGTCGAGTATTTTGGACCTGATAGTTCAAGCAATAATGTGCCCAGATTCAGTATAAATATGGAAATTACTTTAAAGTCCGTTCATGAAAGGAAAGACAAACGACAAGTATTTCAGGTTTTATATGACTCCCTACTTCACCATTCAACCTGTAAGAATTATTATTATTATTATTATTATTATTATTATTATTATTATAAATAAATAAAATAAAATTTAAAACAATAATAATAAAAATAATAAATAAAATAAAATACAACAATAACATAAAAACGTTTTATAAAATAAATAAAATAAAAAAATAAAAATATTTCAAGCATGCAACAAAAACTGTTCATACCGGAAATACGTACAACCCGCCAAGGTTCACGTATAGTGTTCTTTTATAGTCCCAGTAAACAGAAATTGCTCATTCAAAGAGGAGAGTAGCAAAACAAGCTGGTTATTCATAACAACTATATTTTGAACGAACTCCCGCTTCTAAAATGATAAAAGTGTAATGAGAAAATTACGCAGGTGTAGGCTTTAAGAAAGCGTTATACAACTGAGAATACAAGGTTCGCTTATATTGTCCTTTTATAGTCTCAGTAAACAGAAATAGCTCTCTCAAAAAGGAGAGTAACAAAACAAGGGGAGACTACTCTTGATTATTCATAACAGCCATATTTATAATCTGGTTTTGTTGGTTTTGTTCCTTGGGCATGGTGATTTTGTGTATAATTGATGGATGGTCCATTTGTGCAGTAATAAAATATATACCTACATTTTAAAGAAATCATATTTTATTTTTCCAATTATGAAGGGTTCGGTGAATGCCCGGATGAAACTTGTAGAGTTCAGTACATCCAACAAGGTTAAGAACCATTGTTCTAGACTGAAATTGCTTGGCCCATTGTACACAAGCATCACTTCATGGTTAAGAATAAACCTGTTGATTTTTAAAATTAACAAATGTTAACTTTATGCATGTTTTATTGCTCTTCCGGAATGTTCGTTACTAATGGAACCTGCGACGAACAGAGAATATAGAATGTAACCGAGTTTATATAGAAAGTGATTTCTTGAGGTTTTGTGGGTGGGAAGCGTATTGACAAAAGTACACAGGGGTAGGCTTTAAGAATGCTTTATTCAACTGAGAATACAAGGTTCGCCTATAGTGTCCTTTTATAGTCCCAGTAAACATAAATAGGTCTCTCAAGGAGGAAAGTAACAAATCAATTTGAGGCCACCTTTGATTATTCATAACAGGGAGTGATATGAAATGAAAATAGAAAACAGAAAAATCACCGATTAACCATCATTCAAGTTTACATTATTGTTTTTAGCATTTGTGTATTTTGTAGAATGCGGCGTCACTGTGGGACCAGCTGTGCTAAGAGAAGTTCTGGATTCCATGAAGAGACGACATGCACGCATATAACACACTACACAACTTGGTAAGCAATCCTTACTGATAATGGACACTTATTAAAATTTTTCAGAAAACGACTTAGTATTTTGTCCTCTTTTTTTAATTTCCATTTTCTCTAAAATGTTGCCATTACTCACCTGTTCGGTCCATGGTATTCTCAGCATCCTTCTGTACAACCACATTTTTATAGCTTGAAGTTCTTCTTCATCTGTGAGGAGATTGTCTAGTATTCACTGTTATATAGAAGGACCGATATTTCATAACTGTTCAGTACAGATTTCTTTGTTTCTGTTGCTTCAAGTCTCTTCTTCATTTCTAAGGAGATTGTCCAGCATTCACTGCCATATAGGAGAACTGATATTACATAACAGTTCAGTACTCTTTTCTTTGTTTCTGTTGCTTCGAGTCCCTTCTTCATTTCTAAGAAGATTGTCCAGTATTCACTGCCATATATTAGAACTGATATTACATAACAGTTTAGTACTCTTTTCTTTGTTTCTGTTGCTTCCAGTCCCTTCTTCATTTCTAAGAAGATTGTCCAGCATTCACTGCCATATATTAGAACTGATATTACATAACAGTTTAGTACTCTTTTCTTTATTTCTGTTGATTCAAGTCTCTTCTTGATTTCTAAGGAGATTGTCCAGCATTAACTGCCATATATTAAAACTGATATTACATAACAGTTCAGTACTCTTTTCTTTGTTTCTGTTGCTTCGAGTCCCTTCTTCATTTCTAAGGAGATTGTCCAGCATTCACTGCTATATAGGAGGACTGATATTACACAACAATACAGATATATTTTCTTTGTTTTTGTTGCTTCAAGTCTCTTATTCATCCGTGAAGAGATTGTCCAGCATTCACTGCCATAGATGAGGACTGATAATATTGTTCTTGCAATTTGCGTTTAGTCCTTTCTTCTCGCTTTGCCTCGCTATATTTCTGGGGGAGTAATTATAGTTTCTTTTCTTTGCTTGCTATTATATTGTCTCATTTTCATATCTTAATGTTGTTAAGATTTTGGTCACCAATAATGAGTTCTGTTAAGACTTCAAATCGCTTCCCTGCATTGGTTGAATAAGTAAGACAAGATACATTCTTGTCTTACAAACTTTTCTATTTCAGTGTGTTTACTGAATTCATGCTTTATACGCGTGCAGGCGGTTTGCTTTCCAAATATGTCAAGGTTACCTAGCAGTTCCACTAGATCTTTATTATTCGATTACCAATGCAGAAAATACAGACTGACATCCTAAAATTTTCTAAAACAAAGCCTGTACGAAAAGTTCGATGCGTAAATCGCTATAATGCTCGTATAAGATGCAGATAAAAACATAGTAGGGTAAAGAAGAAATATTTGGAAGGATAGGAAAGGATAAGGGTGAGGATAAGAAGATACAGGCAAAGGTTACAAGAATGGCAGAGACATGAGATAATGGGATAAGTTATCAAATAAATACTTGTATGTATACATGTACTTGTATATAGTTGGTTGTTTATTTTGTTTTATGGCATATCAATCTCAGTGGGTCATTTAATGCCAACAAATTTTTTAAAATAGATTCATAGCGATAGTTTGGTAAAAAAAAGGTCTGTATGTACACATATATATTTGAACCATTTTTCAGTTACTTATATTTTTAAGTACAATCCGACTTCTTTTATGAAATTAACAATCTTGGATGGTTTTATTTTCGTAATTTTTTTTTTAATTACTGACTTGGTAATATTTTGTTCACGCTACATCAAAATCTACACATTCTAACGGTATATGCTTCACTGTTAATTTTAATTATTGCTGATAATAATTTCTCCTTCAAAAATTATTGCTGGAAATATTTTTTATTTAATAAAAATCATTTCTGGTATTAAAACCTATTTTTACAAAAGTTTGGGTGTTAATTATTTGCCCAAAGCTGGGACCCTAACAAGTGCTACCACCCCGGTCCAGGGTTTGATATGGGAACACAATGAATTAAGAGGTGGTTCTACGCTCCTCAAGACCTCTTGATCAGAGGCCTTGCTGTTGGACGTAGTTTATTGTCAGAACGCGGTTTATCTTCTTACCCAGGACGCGGATGTATTCTATCATCATATGCAGGACGCGGTTGTAGTTTATCTTCTTACCCAGGACGCGGATGTAGTTTATCTTCTTACCCAGGTCACTCTTGTAAATGGTGTAAAAAGACCCTATCTTGGAGATCAGAACGTTGAGAAAGTATCAACGTGAAAAAAGGGTATACTGAAAATATAACGACCTGGCATTTTTTTCGACTAGTGTACACCTATCACAAGGTACAAGATCGCAACCTGTATGTATGAAATAAAAACAAAAGGAAAAATTATCTAAGTCAATATTCATCACGTTAACTCGCAACCTGTATATATGAATAGAAACAAAAGGAAAAATTATCTAAGTCAATATTCATCATGTTACCTCCGAAGGGACACACCATCAAGGGACAGGATTACACCAACAGGCTGGGGCAGTTAAGAAATGTTATCAAGAACAAATATCTAGGAAAACTGATAAAAGTGGTCAAGTTTTATTAGGACAATGCTCCAGCACAAAAAAGTAGGTTTCAATGGTTGCTTTCCATGAATGTGGCTTTAAAATATCTAAACACCCTCTTTACTCTCCTGATTTGGCCCCATTGATTATCATCTGTTCCCCAACAAGAAAAAACAAAACTTGATTGAAAACAAGAATCGCAGTGATTTTGACGTAAAACCTTCTCTTGATAATATTTTGACCAACAGGACGAAAGTTTCTTCAACAATCTCCAGCACTGCGACACAGATGGAGGTAGTGTATGAACCACAAGGGGGACAGTGTCGAAAAATAAATCTCATTTAGTTACATTCCATGAGAGTATCATAGTCCGCCTATGAACATTTTAGCCGACCCTCATACTTGTCACAAACATATTTTTCTCAATCGCCAACGATGGCCTGTCTATGTTTCGGTTTATCATGACATGAAAAAATAACTAACCCACCTCCACACTCTGAGCACATTTTTTTTTTTATTTCGCGTATATATGACATTTAATTGGTTAATCAAGACATACCCAAAGATTAATTTTAATTCTGATCATATATTACTCCACTTTAACTTTCGGAAAAGAGTCAAAAATTTCATTTTAAATTTCCTTAAAAATCATTTAATTACCAGTTATATACCATCGCCTGAAGAAGTACAATCATAGCATTGAAACATGAAATCCTTTCTGTAGCGATTTCAATATGTTTTATTCTAATTTTAATAATATAAATAAATATTTCCTCTATTTTGTATTGAGCACTTTTTAAAAAGTAAATGCTACGAACAGTAGAATTATATTTCATCTATTCATTCTCTCAATTGACCATACACACACACACACACACACACACACACACACACACACACATATATATATATATATATATATATATATATATATATATATAGGCTTTAAACACTAATATTCCATGGTTATAATGTATTATATTGGAATCATAATCACAAATTCAAAATTGAATTTTTGAATTTGTAGGTCTGATGAATTGGATCATGATTA